AGTTCTCTCTGTTTAACTAGAAGGCTATAAAAAGCATTAAGGTTTATCTGCACACGATATACTGCACTGAAAGTCAGCTGGGGTAGTGTCAGTCCCCATTTGATTTATTTATTCTCCTAGATGTTGAGTTGTCACAGCCTGTTGTCTGTCAAAAAGCTCTGTCTTCAGTCTCAACTGAAAAATTCCACTTACAGACCTGATTAGAGCTAGCTCTAAATATTTACTTTATGGAGCAGCTCCTATGACATTTACTATAATAGTCACCACACAGAGATTCTTTCCATAGCAACCACACAGTAGTGATAGCTTCCCTTTCGATCCTCTGTGTTGTTGGTTGAAATTATATTAAACCTTCAAGACATAAATGTATCACCCATACATTTTAACACATAATATTATCTTCACAGCCTTGATATTTTTGTTAAGTATGTCAGGTATTGCCATTTAGGAGGTCATTTTTGTATGTGATGTCCAGCACCACTTCATCATCAGAAGAAAAATAATTAAACATAATCATTAAGCACTTAATTTCTCTTTGTTTTGCATGCCTCTAATATTTACAGCTTGGGTACTGCTTTCCCAAAGGGGGAAGATGGTCCCAGGTCATAAGCTAGCAAGAAAGCTTTAAAATAGATTTAAGGCAGGGAGGGAGGTATCATGAGGAAGCAGGCGATGGCCTGCCATGCCACTTACACTAGCCTAACTCCAGAACCAGTAAAGGATGCCCAAAGCCTGGAGAGGGAAAACAGCAAAATATGAGAACTACTCAAGGTTTGCATAATCGAGTTCCAGCTGCCCCAGCTAGAGAGGCACATTAGGTGCCCAACTCAAATTCCTCTATGTAAACACATGCAGCATGGAGAATAAACAGGGGGAACTGGAGATGCGTGTGCGATTGAAGGGCCATGATTTCATTGTAATTACTGAGACATGGTGGGACAGCTCTCACAGCTGGAACGTGACCATGGATGGCTTTAGGACTTTTCAGGAAGGACAGGCAGGAAGGCGAGGTGGCAAAGTTGCTCTTTACATGAGAAAGCAACCAAAATATATGGAGCTTAGCATAGGAGAGGATGAAGAGGCAGGTTGGGAGCCTGTGGGTAAGGACTGAAGGACAGGCCGACAGGGGTGACACTGTCGTGGGTATTTACTACAGGCCTCCTGACCAGGGAGAGGAAGTGGATGAGGCCTTCTACAGGCAGCTGCAAAGAAGCCTCACGATCCCAGGCCCTGGTCCTTAGTGAGGACTTCAACTGCCCTGATGTCTTCTGGGATAATCACGCAGCTGGAGGTAGACATTGCAGATAACTTCTTGATGTGGTAGATGAGCCAACGAGGAGACGGGCACTGCTAAACCTGCTGATACTAATGAAGTAACCTGGAGTACTATGTGCAGTTCTGCGCTCCCCAGCTCTCTATGTGCTCCCCAGTACAAGAGGGACATGGAGCTTCTAGAGAGGGTCCAGCGTAGCACAACAAAGATGATTAAGGGACTGGAGCATTTAACTTAGGAGGAAAGACTAAGCGGGCTAGGCCTGTTTAGCCTGGAGAAGATGGAGACAGGATCTTATCAATATGTATGAATACCTGAGGGCAGAATGTAAAGAGGATGGGACAAAACTCTTCTTGGTGGTGGCCAGTGAGAGGACAAGGAGTAATGGATATAAATTAAAGCACAGGCAGTTCCATCTCCATATGAGGAAGAACTTCTTTCCTGTGAGGGTGCCAGAGCCCTGGAACAGGCTGCCCAGAGAGGTTTTGGAAGCTCCTTCTCTGGAGATCCTCAGACCCTGCCCGGATGCCACCCTGTGCCCCTGCTCTGGGTGTCCCTGTTGGAGCAGGGGGTTGGACTAGAAGATCTCTAGAGGCCCCTTCCAACCTCAACCATTCTGGGATTCTGTACAAAGTTTTTCATCTGTAAGTGTTATCCATTTATGCATGGCTGTATTATTAACATTAGTTTTTTAGGATTCTGAAGGAACTACAAAGATGATATGCTCGGAAAAATCACACCCAATTTTGTTTTATTCTATGTATTTATTGTTGCCATTGTTAGCTGGAAGTTCCTTAGCCCACTGTACTCTCCTCATAATCTGATCTGCCCTATGGGGGCAGGCAGCAATGTATGAAGTGATTATAAGGATGCCCAAGTGTCTTCAAGGATTTTATGTACTGGGACTGCAAAAGCATTTTGATCTGTTGTTGATAGAACAGGCACAATAAATCCCATTGTTATGGTTCCTAGAGCACAACCTATTAATAAGGAAAAATTCTTAAGGCAAAGAATATGAAACAAATTCATCACAATTGGACTTGGAAATTATTCTACGCATTTTAACTATGTTGCCTGACATCACAGTGGCTGCGGATTATATCCCATTACTGCAAGTCATATATAGTTAGTTCTCCCATTATGCCTGGAGAACATCTTTTTTTTTTTTTCTGATCATCATATTTTGCACTTAAAAGTACACTGTGATGTGTTCTGCCACGCTATATTTTTTATTAAAACATACCTGCACCTGCAGGCTTCTGCAGCTATAAATACATCATGTTTTTGAGAGGAACACATTTATACTAGCTATCTCTTGAAGGTCCCTGCCTAAATGTTGCCTCGCTAATTTATTTTTCAAAAGATTTTGGATTGGCAATGTGCAAATTTTCCATTTTCAAATATTTGAGCTATTAAAAACCAACAAGAGATTATATTGCTAATGACAACTCACTCCTCCTGCAGCTGGCTTGAACGTTCTTCAGGCATCTTCTGTTTCTACTGCAATGCTTTTAAAAGTGTGCAGCCCTTGGGGCCTGTAATAGCGGCAGACTGTGGGTGTAGAGAGCTGCTACCTACTGGTTTGTTCCTTATTAAACTGGTGCTCCATTAAACTAAGCCTCACCGCTTCTCTTATCCAGTTGTTTTTCCGTCCTCCTGGCAGACCCGGTTGGTGACCTTTTGCCTGCCATCAACCCCTCTGGCTGCCCTACTGTAATCTGTTCACTCAGCTAATTCCCACCTTGTTTATTATGGAGCCCATCCAACACCTACTGAAGGTAATGCAACCCTCAGCGGCTTCTATAAAATAGGGACTTTGCCACTTTCAGGAGATTGAGAACTTGCAATCTTTAAAAATTGTTAGTTATGTTGTGATCAGGCGCAGGCAGGAGAGGCAATAGAGATATTTACCTTTGAGGTAGCACTTTCCACCTTGCAAGTGTTCTGGAGATATTTTGGAAAGAAAAGGAGCCCATCCTGGCTCCTTTGGAAAGGAAAGGCATCACTCGGACTAAACCAATCCTGAAACAAACCCTGAAACATCCAGGAGATGACCTGCAGACGATACTTCCCACCGCTTTAGACTCCTCCCTTGTGTGCCAGAGCTTGTTGTCCATCAGCTGTAGATGCAATAAGTTTAGACTAGACTTCTGACATAGAGAATCATCTGTGGATCCTATGGAGACTTAGATGTATTTTTTAAAGATAGATACTACCCTTTGAGAAAAAAACAACCAAAACTTTTTGGTGGCTCTGGTACAAAATATATGAGATTAAGAAGATAATCCTCAAGCTGCCTTGGGAGTTCAAATTCACTCTGGGGAGAAGTGAAATTCACTGTTAACAGACAGTTAGTCGGAGGAGCCTCCGTTTGTTCTTTCCAGTGCCAAATAGAAGAGGCAGCAATTAGCTACAAATGACAGTACACTCTTCACTGGTTGTTGATGTGATATCTCTTTATTCTTTATTATTCAAAATATTATCATGGCCTGGAAAGGCGATCCTCTTGAATATTCATTAGCCACTCCAGAAATTGTTCATAAATTGATCTCCATAGCACAGAGACTCCATCCTTACGACAGTGTTGGAGTTTTGTATGAATTATTTCACAGTTCTACTGAAGTTGTCCATACATCAGATTTTAGTGGTGATTGTCTTTCGTGTGATAAACCCTCAGGCCGGTTTCTGTTATTAAAGAAGAATGGTTTCCAATAATATAGGGACAATGTTAAATTTTCAGTAAAACCAATGATGTTGTTCTTCAGAGCCAACACGCTTAGGCTTTGAACCTTAAAACCCAAAGGGTGTCAATCCTTAATAAATCTGCTGGAAAACGTGATATGTAGCAACATGCCTTAAATAAAATATAATTAAAGTGATTTAACTGAAACACTGGAGATAAAAGCAGAATACAGGAATATTTCTTGGTAGTACATTTAAGGGAAATGAATTTCCAGTTGTATACATCCCCCCCTTTTTTTTTTTGGTAAGTAATATTTTCAAAGAACTTCGGCCACCCAGCTTACTACTATTTGAAGCTTCTGGCTACAGGGAGAATTAAAAAACACATTTATAGTCTGTGGGGCAACTGGAAACCTTTTCAGACTTTATCCAAATTTAAAATGGGAGTTGCACCGTGCTGAGCAAAGGAGGCATCTTACGATTTGCACTGTTGCTCTGACTTTGGTTATAGATTTGTATCTAGAAGAGCTCCGACGCTCCTGATTTCTGTGGGCACCACTGATGCATATTGAGCCTATTCTGGAGCAAAACCAAGGTACAAACTATCCTTTGTAGCACACTTGGCTCTGCCAGAGGTACAAATACATGTAACTCATCCAAGCCAGCTCCACTGGATAGCTGGATGATGAGGAAGGATAAAGGCTGTGCTGTAACACACAGCTACCAATCAACCTACACCCTGTAACATCCTTTGCTTATACCGCGATTTAAAAGGTAATTAGGATGGCAAGAAATTCAATGTAATTACTGTACTCCAGACTGTGAAAAGACAATATAATCAACATGTAGATTCAGCTTGTTAATTTTTTGAGAGTATACATGTAGTAGTGGATACTGCCCAAACTTTAAATTAATTCTGGGGAGTCAACTGTCATCAGGAAACTCAGAATCCAGCATGCTGTTCTTCTAAAGCCTCCAAGCTAATAATTATTGTTAATAATAAATAATAATAGTAGTGATTTATGTGTTTGTTTTTCCTCTGCAGATAATATTTTGACACCATGGGAAAACAAAACAGCAAGCTACGCCCTGAAGTCATGCAGGATTTGCTAGAAAGTACAGACTTTACAGAGCACGAGATCCAGGAATGGTACAAAGGCTTCTTGAGAGACTGTCCAAGCGGACACTTATCTATGGAGGAGTTTAAAAAAATATATGGGAACTTTTTCCCTTACGGGGACGCTTCTAAATTTGCGGAACACGTATTCCGCACTTTTGACGCTAATGGAGATGGAACAATAGACTTCAGAGAATTCATCATAGCCTTGAGCGTCACGTCGAGAGGTAAACTGGAGCAGAAGCTGAAGTGGGCTTTCAGCATGTACGACCTTGACGGCAACGGCTACATCAGTAAGTCAGAGATGCTGGAAATTGTGCAGGTATGTTCTGCTCGCAGGCACTCTTATACCTCTCTCATTTCAAACCTATTGTGAAGCAATGTCACAATAAGGTACTGAATGAGAAAGTCTTGAAATATTTGGGGGCTTATGCTCTTGGATCTCAGTATATTTGCACTTAATATGAAAGGCTGTTTCATTGGGCAAAGATCTTACCACAGTCCAGACTCAAGCATTTGATATCCACTGACGTTGTCCTGAGCATCACATTGGCATGGCAGCTCCTTTGGGAGTTTTTCAGCATAACTAACCTGCTGATCAATGTGATTTTGTCCTCTGGGAAGACCTGGCTTGTTAGTTAATTACAAATGTCCTGAGTAGGTATCTCAGATTAACCAATTTAGGTAGTATACTTCTAAGCAAGCCACGTTCCCTCCACAACAGAAAACAAATCTACTTAAAAAAATTATGTTGTTATGAAGAACCGGCTCATTTATTTTAAAAGTTGTCTGTCTGTCTAATTCAAGTACAGTCTGCATACTTCATCTCATATTAGCTATCTTCATATTAGGTTGCCACTACAGATCAACCTTAACTGGATATATCATGATTCCAAACACAGTTACCCTGGGTGCATTTTCTTGTGTTTCTAATATGAGTTCCACCTCATTTTGTCTTTAACATTTCTCTTCACCTTTAAGACACATGATACTACTGAAAGCTTTAAAGCAGTTTTGGTTCCGTAGTATGTTTATGCAGCTTGAATCTGTAAAATGCAGTTCTGTTAAAAACTGCTTTCAGGATCCTTTTTTTTTTTCCACTGGAAATGTGGAACTGCGAAATATGTACTGTATTATTCAGGTTTATATTTGTGCTAGAAATTGACTGAAAGAAGTTTCCACAAAATATGTGATGGCAAAGTGCATGTTTAGAATCATTCTAATGCATGCTGCCCTTGTCTTTCTACCAGGGCCCTTTCAACGTCCTCCAGGCAGTAGTAAACGTTAGCAATTTCAGTTTCAGCAAGACCAGAGACAAGGCTTAGCTGGCAATGTAGGGGCTTTTCTTTTCTTTTTTTTTTCCAAATATTCTTTTGTGTGTGTTCTTGTGTATGAGTGAATAAGCAGCCTCAGACGTCTCCCTGTCTCAGTGTCACAGCAAACTCCCCTCTTTGAGGTAGAAGGTACTGTACTCCTCGCAAATCTGTCACTCTCCTCAGTAGGGTACACAGGCTGTATGCTACTGTTTTTTCCAAACTGTATCGCTCCCCATTAAAAAAAAAAATACAGAGAATCCCCAAAGAGCCAGCAAAGCACAAAGCAAAAACAAGGGAGTCAGCCCAAGCGAGTCTGCTCCTCAGCATGAAGAGAGGCCCCCAAGACCGCGGGGCCTCGTCGGGGAAGGACTAAGTGCTGAGCAGCAGTATAAACTCCAGAGATCAAAAGGCTTGCAAACATGGAGAACAAGGCCACAAACTGTGTTCATGTCAAATTTAATTAAAATATTGATGGTTGGATTCTCTGTGGTGATCCAAGCAAGCAAATATGGCTGTTTTCAGTTGCCACGGAGCTGCACATCAGCTTGATTAGGTGCTGACCTGCTCTGCCTCCTATTGCTAGCCTTGTAGGTGCCAACTGTAGCATCATTCCTTACAGCCATGATGCCACCATGAAATGAAGGGGCTGTTTAGGGATCAGTGCAGGGTTATATTTGGTTAATTTGGGACACCTGATAGAAGCAATCTTTTTGTTAATGTTTCTGAAATTGCATTCTTTGCAGCCAAAAGGGAAGAAAAACCAAATGGAGACATATCCCATGGGGCCACGTGAGCTGTTGCACACACTCCCACATAGTTTTCAGCCTGGCCCTCCAGCCCCATCGCCCTTTCTGCTCCCTTGCTGCGCAGCTGCAGCACCCAAGAGCTGTGGCTGCGTCCAGGATGCATGGGAGGCACAGGTTGCTCTCTGTCCTTCTTTTCTAGCATTGCCTTTCTGGAGGTTTAGCTCTCACCTCCTTTTAGAAGTTTTCCTTCTCTCATTTACCCCCACCCAGAGTTCTGAAGGACCATATAAAAATTGATTATGGGTATTAACGGGCTCACACACCCGAACAGCAGTCACTTCTGCACCATAGACCATCACTCCAG